GGGGGTCTAACTATGTAGTTGAGACTGACCTGGAACTAACTGTGTAGCCCAGGCTGGTCTCGAACTCACAGTGATCCTCCTGCCTTAGCCTTCCGTGTATTGGGATTACAGGTGTGTGCCACCAAGGCCGGCTCTTTTTTTGGGGGGGGCGGGGTTACTTTTAATTAAAGGATTGAACCCAAGGATTTGTGCATGTTAAGTAGGTACTTGTACCATTCCGCTACATATCCAGTCTATATGGGTTTCTTTTTTGATTTACTGCTGTCTCCTTTTGGTAGGACACAAATCCCTATAACTTGTAGTATAGAAAGTAAACTTTACAGATCAGAATTGTCTGAATAAATGTTTGTTTAACCATAAATATGACTTGTAGTTTGGTTGACTTTGTATAGAGTTTTTAAGTTGGGAGTTATTTTCCAGTAGAATTTTAAAAGCATTGCAAAAGTCTGATATCATTCTAGTTACTTGTTTTAGCATATTTTTGTTTTTATATGCTTGGTGTCTTGTTTTTTTGTTTTTATTTCTAAAGCTTTTTGGAGATTGATTTTAACCCTTTTGTTCAGTTTATTTTTAAACTTCTTTATTTTTGACACAATATGCTTGAATTTTCATTGATTATTTTTTGTTTTATTTCAGTGGCTCATGTTACAACTTATGATTTTCAGATACTCAATTTTTATGCTGACATTCATTTTATTGTCATTTCTCTCCCAATTTAAATTTCTTTATACTTTTTATATTAGTGGGCAATTTCCTCGTTTACTTCCCAATCTTTTTATTAATTTAAGGAGAATTAGCAACATGTTTTTAATTTCTAAGAGCTCTTTTTTGTTTTTTGAAAAATATAAACATTCAGTTCTTGTTACAGTATCTTCTGTGTTATCTGTACATACATTTTTATTATTTGAAATTTACTCCTTTTTAGCATATAGCCTTATTTGTTTAACCTGATTGTTTTCTCTCTCTTTGTGTGTTTTTTAATCTCTGCCTTTTGTATTAGTGATTTGCTTCTAACATATGGTGATCTTTCATATTGTAGAACAAATTGCTAAACAACTAATTGGAACCTTTGTTTGAGCATGCAACTTGTAAAATCATGGTATCTTTCTTGCATGGCATTGGACATGCCTCATTTTTTATTGGGAAATAGTCAGTTTTCAGTTTGTTTGGTTCCCTTTTGTTGGTCTGTCAAGTTTGCATAGAGAAACACTTTTTTCCTGCCGGTTATAAGCCTGACACTTAAAAGAGAGTTCTAACAGTAAAAGAGATCTCTGTAAAAATACATGTATCTTTGTAGGTTTTTGTTATAATTCCCTTTTCTTTGGTTGTATATCATATTCCATAATCTGCAGTTTATTTTTCAGCATTTCCCAAAACAACTCTTTAGTCTTCCGCTGGATCATTCTGAGGTAGTTGCTTGGCTGCAGGGTTTAAGGGAATGGATCTTGCATAGATTCAGGGAAGGAAATCTGTAGTCCTTAGGCTATCAGTCACTCATCTTTCTAGCCTCATCTGCATCCCTGTCTTCTAAAGTGCCTGATTTTAAGAATTCTTACCTGTTCTTTGCCTAAGTACTTTTTTCTATTAATTTTATTCAATGATATTTATTCATCAGAGGTTGTCTTCCAAAACTTTGATGACAGCTTTTGCTTCTTTGAGATCTGCACATTCAGCTGTCATATTTTTTATTTTCATTTCTTTGTTGGTTTAGGGATCTAAAATATTTCTTACCAACCTTTTGGTGGAGCTCAAGGACTGAAAAGAGGTGAAAAATGGAATTTAACTTTAATCTTTTATTTTCAGAGATCCATCTACATTTCATTTTTATTCATCTCAATTTTTAGGTGATAGTTACAGCAATAATAATAGCTATATTACTGGACACTAGAGAGTTTATACTGAGGGAGAGATCTCAGTAAAGCTAGGAGAATTATGGTAGGCAAGAATTTGTGGAGAAATAATTGGGATTAATGATGCAACACAGGATTAAAAAATATATGTTTTCAGTTGTCATTCTTCAGAGAAGTACTAGAAGGAAAGGAAATAGCTATATAATACTTTGCAAGAAATAGTTTTTAAGAAGTTATTTTATAGTACAGTGTAAAATCAATTTTTAATTGCAGTGCCTTATAGATCTCTCTTTTTTGCTCTAGTGGACTATAACAAGAATATTTGCATAAATGTACAGGGCAGTACTTTGCCTTTCCCAAATATAAGATTTTCCTACCATATCTGTTGTCTTCCTAACCCTTGTCACTCTGACTGTACATACTACCAAAATATTGCAGTCATTGCCTAAATTAAGTTCTGAATGCAATTCACCTTTATCTGAATTAAATATTTTAAGAACTATAGTTGTTTTGGCCTTCACAAATAACAAAGTATGTAAGCAATGCTGTTCATGTTTGAAGCCACATATATTTGACTTTAGAGATTTAAATCATTTTGTTTCACCATTTTGCTTCTGTAATAGAATTCCTTTTATAATTTCAGAGGGTAGCATTCCTATAGAACAAGATATGACTGGCACCCTGTTATATAGTGCTGGGACTCTGGTACCTCTTACTTTTGTAGTGTCAATATTTAGGGTATTTTACAGGTTTATAGGCAACTTTTTCATTGCAAAAAATCCTTGAAGAGATTACTAAAATTTATTCTTAAAAAATAATAAGCTTGTGACAATGCTAACAAATTTCTTAAAGAGAAATTTTGGCATAGTAATATTTTAGCTGTTAAAACAAGTTTTAAAATATCTGAGGTATGTGATGTTCATAAAAATATAAAGTTTAAGTTCTTGATACTGTCAGTTTACTAAGGTCCTTCATACAGGTATGTGAGGTTTTTTTTTTTAAAATTGTTACAGTTGTGATGATTGAGCTCACAGCCTCATACAAGCTAGACTTGCCCCCTCAAACCCCAGATGCATTCACAGGTTGATGAAATTTTTACCAAAAAAGGTTTCATGTGGGTGTGGTGGTGCCAAGGCAAGAGGATTGGTAGTTGGAGCCCAGCCTGGCAATTTAGTGACTTAGTAGGACCTTGTCTCAAATACAGAAACCAAAAAGTATTAAGGATATCGTTCAGTGTGGAGGCTCAGGGTTCAATTGCTAATACTACCAACAAACAAAAACCAAAAGAAAATGAAAGAGATTTCTGGCAAATTTTTCTGATAATTTTCATTTATAACATGCATGATATATTAACACAGATCTATAGTTTATGATTCAAAGTAGAGTCCTCAACTTTATAAACTGTAAAAGTAGCACTGTTATATTTAAAAAACAAAATCATTTCTACTATCCAGATTCTTTTTCTTTTGTATCTACTAGAATGGATTTCTTTCTTTTGGTTTTGAACACCCTGAGCAACTCTTGAGATAATTAATAGCTTTTTTCTGCTCCCTCCTATATAGATTCTCATTAGTTTTTGAAAAATTGATATTGACTGAGTCTCCAAGGATTGGGAGCCAGTGTAGTGAATTACTCAGTTCTGTGGCCTCCTCATCTTAGCATTCTGATTGAAGAAGGATAAGTTATTCACTACAACTACAGTAGAATTAAATGTGCAGAATAGCTCAGCATCCTTTCTTACATCAAGTGTAATCTGGGCTTTGCCATTTTCTGACTTGTATCTTTGGTGAATTTGTATTCATTCTCCTATATGTTAAATAAATAATAGTAATAGCTACTTTAGTTTTTTTTTTCAGCTTTAATTGAGTTTATTGGTTCATTTTAGGGATACAGTACAGTTACATTCATTGTTCAGATCTTGTACCTCTACATGACTTTAGTTTTTTTATTTGTGATGAATAAAGTAGGCAATGTGCACGGGACTTAGTGCTCAGTCAGTGTTAGATGCTGTTTTGATAACTATTACTTCTGCTACTGTGTTTATGCAAATATTGGTGTTGTTTAAGTTTAGACATGTCTCATTCTTTTTGAATCATAGATTTTTAGAATCTGATAAAATGCCTTAGTAAAATGCACAAATATACAAACAACATTTTAAATGCCATTACATAGATTTCATGGACTCCTTAAAGTCTGTAACATACTCCAGTTTAGAATTTCTGCTCTGAGGATAATGAATATTATTTTAAATGCATCACAGGTGTAAAATATTGGTAAATACCAACCAATAGATGCATAGTTATATAATAACCAAATAAGAATAGAAGAGATAATGTTTACCTTTTTGCTTACTTCATAAAAATCTGTACTTTCCTTTTGCTTATGAGCTATTGTATTTTAATTTAGTAACTTCCTTGAACTATTCTGTTTCTACTTCCTCACTCCACCTGACCAAGACATTTTGTTTACTGCCAAAATTAAACTCAATTTATATATTATATTTGTTTCAGAAAGAAAATTATCATATATTTTAAAGCTAAATATGATTTTTAAAACTTGCTTTTAAGTAAATATTTGTACATTTGCTTTTTGAGCTGAACTAATCAAGAACTAACTATAGTTATGAGGGTTCAGCCCATTTAGTTAAAAATTACATCCTTTCACCTTTTAAACACTGAACTCTGAAACCTAACAGAAATACTGTAAGAACATCTGAGGTGGATAATTAAAGTATAATTAAGTTTAAATGCCTTGGTGAAGGAGTATAAAAATTATTTAAATTCAATCGGCTAGTACATTTGCAGTTTTCTTTTATTAGGTGTGAAATCTAAGAATCCCCTGCCAACTCTTGAGGGCTCAATCCAGAATGTTGAATTGAAGTACTGCAGCACATCATTGGTCAAATGTGCCTCTGGGACCATGGGATCAATAAAAATTTGTGCCAAAGCCCCAGGTATGTGCAGCTGGACCGTGTAAAACTTTATTGCCTGTATAGGAGAATTGGCCTTGCGTTTTACAAGGAGCGTTACTGAAATAAGAATTTACTCATTGTTCCTATGAATCAGAGGTTTTAATTTTTTTTAGTTTTACTTAAAAATTTCAATAGTGCCAGGATGACACTTGTTAACTTTAAGAAATCAATTTTTAATTATGAAAAATAAATAGTTATAAGCAGTTATGAGAGAGAAAAACAGAATAAATATAATTTTGGGCAAATGAGAAGTTATATATAACACTTAAATATTAAATAAAATTATGTTAGTATATTATGATTGAAAACAAAACCTCGCTGTTTTTAAATTTAGGGCTGTAATTGACTCCTTCCTACCAGTGTTTTATTTCATAGTATTTTTTTAAATTTGTAATATACACAAAATATATTTCAACATAAGTTGATATTAGTATAGAGTCTGTAGAATTTTTAGAAGACATTGTTCACATTACTTCCTTTTGCAAACTTTGAATATATTTTACATTCATTAGCAGAATATTTAAATGTAATTTTAAGTTAGAAATGCTTTTATCAGCCAGACTCCTTAAGAGTATAACTTAACTGTGCAGCTAATGTAACTAAATCTAATTGAAATGTTATGGTATTAATATATTTTAAAGTTAAAGCATCTTTATGCTACTCCAATAACATTTTACTTAGTAAGATTTATGTTAGTGTTTGTTTGTTTATCACAAAATATTTCTGTTCAGTTGACAGTGGAAAAGAGAAGTTGATTCCCTTGCTTCAGGGTCCTTCTGACACTAAAGACCTTCATAGCACCAAGTGGCTCAATGAGAGTAGAAAGCCAGAATCTCTTTTAGCTCCAGATTTGATAGCCTTCACAATCCAAGTTCCACAATATATGGACTACTGCCATAGTTCTGGTAAGTACAAACCTATCATTATTCCATCATTTTGCATTTTCTTTTCCAGAAAAGCTTTTTAAATTATGCTTTATAAAAAGTAGTTTGTGTTTATTGGGATCTTTCTGCAGTTTTGCTTTTCTAAAATTCAAATGAACTTTTCGTGTCTTTTTGATTATTGAAATGTTTACAACAATATGAGAGAATTTAGCTGCATAGTACTTAACCTCAGATTTATAGCTATAAAGGCTGAGTTTTAAAATATAATATTTTAGGTAACATCTATTTTCCTTTGACTATGACCCATAGTTTGCTGTATTAAAATTAGATGTTTCAGTCTTCCATAGTTTTATAGAAAGGAAAACTTTCTTTTGTAGAAGGGAAAACAAAGACAAATAAACAAAAACATTGAGAAGTTATGATCTCATTTCTTGAAGTTATATTTTTTCTCTAGTAGCATTTTTCTTGGAATCTATATTATTTTATTCTGTACAGTAATAACAGAATCATCGTCTTATGTTCAGAGGCACTATGAGAAAGTTCAATAAAGGCTAGGAACAGAAGAAGTTATGATAGGTAGAGAGACCATCCAGGTAAGAGATCATTTAGCCAGTATGTGGTTAGTAAAGCCAATGTGATTAGCCAGTGAGGCTAAAAATTTAATAGTAGTATGGAAATGTCTAAAAAGGACTTTTTAAAAAAAGAGTTAGTTGACCAGTTCAGGTGATTTCACAGTAACTGAATACTAGTACAGCTCCTTTAACATTATTCAGCAAGAACTGTAGCCTATGCAAAGTATGTTACACATTACTAAATTTCAAGTATACTCCAAAAAGATTTATAATTAACTAGACAGAGACAGTATGGAGGTAAATATTAAAGTAGGGTCAAGTGCACATATGCAGGAACACAAGAAAAGTTTTGAAAGGTTAATTTTTGGCAGTACCATTTACAGCCTAACACTTCAAATTAGCATTTGAAAGGCCAATCTGAGAATACCTGATCATTATGATTCTAGAGTTAACACTTCTCAAAATGAAGGAATAAAATGCCTGGTGAGAATGGTATGGAATCTTAAGGAAGGAATGTTACGAAGATGAGGCCAAGACCAAATTAGGACTGTTATGCATAAGAGATTATATCTATCTTTTAAAGCAGAGATTGGTAAATATTTTAACAAAGGGACAGATAGAGAAAGAAATATTTTAGGTTTGTTGATCATGTGGTCACTGATCACAACCATTTTGTTTGACTCTTCTGTGGCACAACAATAATCATTCGTAATGCATTAATGAATGGATGTAACAAGTGGTCCAACAGAATTTTGTTTATATAAACAGAGAGTGGGCTAGGTTTGTATGGTCTACCTACCTCTGTTTTAGGGAGAAGAAAATAGTGTTTAAATAAATGACTATTTAATCATGCCCTTATTTATGCTGTTAATTAACTGTTTTATGTAATTATCCATATAGAAGTTTTTTGTACCTTTTGTTCTCAAATTGTCAAATTATTAAGATAGCAGTTAAAATGACCAGACCATTCATTTATAATTTTAACACCTAAGAAGGGATTACTGTTATTTGAATGTCACATTTTCTTGAGTTAGATGAGGACTTCTATTTTTTTTTGTTTTTCCATACAATTAGAATAATTTAATGAGTCGAGCATATTTTAATAGTAAAGTGATCTTTCTTGTAACAATATTTATATTATTCTTTATAATTTAAATGTATTTGTATGGTCAAAACTATTTTTCATTTGTCTTTTTGTATGGGTCTAAAAATAAGCTGGTATAGAAAAATTATCTAACACCTATTATATTTATAGAAATGTTTTTCTTTTTGTTAAGGAAATTCACCTAATCTTCAATATTAGTGTTATGGTTAGTGATATTTATGGATTTGTGTATACAATTTTACCGTATTCATCTTTTTTGGCACTTTAAAATATTCCTTTGGATATGTGTAAATCCTTAATTTTAATGTGTATTTATGTAAACTGTAGGCACATTTATTTAGGCTATTTTGAAATTTAAGTTTTCCGTCTTCCTTGGAACTGCTACCTACATACAAGGCTTAGGTATTTATGACATGGTTTAGAGAACTCATAAGTATTCTTTAAAAGCCAATTTTAACAGAAGCAACTAAGTGAACAAGTTACTCAAGGTTACATTCACTTTTCTTTGGTTTTTGAGGCTGGAACATTTCATGGAAATTGGGCAAAACAGGAGTCTTTCCTGATGTTAAAAAAATAACAAAAGGATACTAAGTAGTTGAATCTTTTTAGGTGAACATCAAAAGAGTAGTGCAAGTTGTCTCTGTTGGCCTTTTCAGAAACAGATAGATGTCTAGGTGACTTTGTTAATGAATTTTTCGTATGAATTTGTAGAATTTTTAGTAATGATAATATTAAAAGGCTTCTGAGGACCCTGGCATAACGTGTATAACATAGTCACTACTCTGTCTTTGCTCCCAAATTGAAGTAGAAGAGATTAAAACTAGGACCAGTAAATTTTATAGATGTTATATAGAAGTCTGTTACATTTACACTTGATCTTAGCCAAAAGGCCGAGAAGCGATAGTTACATGATTTTTTGAGAAGACCTTAGTCAGCTATAGTATTTTGACTATGATTTTAGAGGATGAAAGAATGGACAGCTTTATTATGAGAATTAGGAATTAATGTTCAGCCTTTGAACTGGAAGCTGGGGCTTCAGACTATAACATTTTTTCACTTTCTTTTTTTTTAATCAATTGTTTATTGATATATTTTAGGTATACATTTTTGTTTGTTTTTTTCCTCATTGAGTTTATTGGTACATTTTAGGTATCCTGTACAGTTACATTCATTATTGGGATCTTGTACCTTTACATGACAGGTCTTGGTTCTCAGTTTTTCCCCTTGTCCCTGCCCTCCCTTCACCCCCTCCTTTCCTCCCCATTTACAAGCAGTTTATTTCCATTTTTCATTTTCTGCTATCTTTTTTTCTTTCTCTTATTCTTTTTCCCCTGCCCTTCCCACTTTCCCTACCCCTTTAGCCCTTTTCTTCCTATTTCACATTGTCAGTTATCTCAGTAGGATCTTATGTACTATTATAGTTTTTCACACCAGAGAAACTATTCGGCATTTACACATGTGTGACTTATTTATTTCGCTTAGGAGTATATTCTCAATATGTATCCATTTTCCTATGAATGAATCTAATTTCTCATTCTTTATGGCTGAGTAGTATTCCATTTTAGAAAAAAACATGCATCTTTTTTATCCAGTCTCCAACTGATGGGCTGTTTCATTTTCTAGTTGTTTACCATTTGGTTTTTTAATCTTGGAATCTGAATTGCTAGACATTGCATCCCTAGCCTTAAAAGTTCTTAACTTCCAGGAACTTCTTTCTTTATATTAAGCACTGTTAAAAGAGCCACACTTTCATGATCTAACAACACTGCTTTGTCTTTGAAGTCTTAGCAATTTCCTTAGCACTTTTTCCTCTTTCTTCCTTGATTGCATTCTGCACTTGGCTGACTGATTACAGTGAAGGAGCTGAGGGCTCTTATGGGAATTCTGCATGCCAGCTCATATTCTGTATTCACAGTTACTTTAAGGGGACCATTGAATGCTACCGATATTTCTTATGTTTGTATAGATCTTATAAGTCAAATAGGGTATAATAGATGTTTCTCTGGTTCCTTCATTGTTAAAAGTCTAGTTGACAATAGATGATATATATTAAATATTTTTATATGTTTTAAGCATTTTTCTCTCCATTATATTTAGACTTTAGTTCTTATTCATATGCTGTATTTTGCCAAAAGGATCTAAACCTTTGTTAATTATATGAATGAAATTTAGAGTATTTATTATTTGTTGTTAATCATATTGTTCTATCAATTTAGAATCAAAAGATCTAGGAGACCATCAGTTCATTTTCTGAGTCAGTATTAGGAGACCTTTTTACATATCTCCATACATATATTTGCTGCAGATCTACTAGCATTTTTCAGTTTTTTGTTGGTAATTGTGCTTTTATATATGATTTTTTTTTTTTTCTGCCTGGGATTCTTATAACTATCCTTGCCCTTTTTAAAACTGTTTAATCGCAGCATAGTCTTTAACTTTTAGCTCAACCTCTACTTTTTCAAGGAAGCTTTTCCTGAAACTACCTCTCCCACCTCCCCATTTGATTAAGTACCTCTGTTAATACCCTCCACCACACCAATCGGGAATCTAACTCAGGACCTCACAATGCCATGCAGGAGCTATGCCACTGAGCTATATCCCTGGCCCTTAATGTACTTTTTTTCATAGTCCTTATGACAGTGTATATTTATATAGTCTGTCCTCATCACTTGCCAGTGAGTTCCAGGGTTAGTCACTGGTTACTCATCATTTTATTTTCAAGGCCCTAAAATTACTTTGCTTATACGAAATGCTTGAGAAGTCAATTCTTGAATAAATGAATAGATGGATGCATTTTTATGACAGATGGTGGAGTATGAATGTATTTGACAGAACTTACTCAAAAGTAAGATCTTATAAGTCAAATAGATCATATGTGTTTCTCTGGCTCCTTCATAGGTAAAAGTTGCTCAAAAGGCAAAGGTACTCAAAAGTAAGTTCTTAGTACATGTTAAGCGCCCCCCGACTTTTTTGAGACAGCGTCTCACTATGTAGTTGAGACTGACCTGGAACTCACTATGTAGCCCAGGCTGGTCTCCAACTCACAGTGATCCCCCTGCCTCAGCCTCCCAAGTGCTGGGATTACAGGCGTGTGCCTCCATACCCGGCTTTTTTTTTTTTTTCAGCTTTAATTGAATTTACTAAGCTTGAGATTCAGCATTACATTGTTTATTTAAAATCACTCTGTTTCTTTTTTTTCAGCTTTAATTGAATTTACTGGTACATTTTAGGGATACAGTACAGTCACATTGATTGTTGGGATCTTGTACCTCTACATGACAGGTCTTGGTTCTTATTTTTTCCCCTTGTCCCTGCGCTCCCTTCACCCCCTCCTCCCCTCCCCA